GGCCGGAGGGCCGCCTGGTGCGGCGGCACCCGCTCTTCCAGGGCACCTCCAAGGAGTTTCGGGAGCAGCGCCCTGGCGAATGGAAGTCATCTCGGGTGGTGGGGAGGAGGAGGAGGGGGGGCTGCAGGGGGAGGGGGCTGAAGGGGGAGGGGGCTGAAGGGGAGGGAGGGGGAAGCTGGAAAAAAAAAATGGGGGTGGTGACGAAGAAAAACATCGACTGCGGTTGGGTGTGTGTGTGTGTGTGTGGGGTTGTTTGCAAATGAGCACGTTACAAAAAAGAAAGAGAGAGGAAGACAAGCGAAACGGGAGGTTGTTTGGTTTTTGTCAGCTGGTGGTTCTTCGCGGGCCCCTGATTAGTACAGGCCTCTCCCTCAAGGTGGGCAAGATTTGGACAAGCCCCAAAACAGTTTATTTTTAGGAGCACCTTCCCCCCTGCCCCCCCGCACCCGATTCATTTGGAGCCCCTTCGGTCCTGGTCCTGCTAAATCTGCCCTAGAAAGAGGAACCTGGAGAACCTCTTTGTTCCTTGCCTTCTCGGCCCCTTCTGGGCACTAGGACTTGACATGGCAACAACATTTGTTTTGAGCCCAAACGGGCCCTGATTAATTGCCCGGGGGGTTTCTGTCAATGGGGGGGCGTCCTGGGGAGGACCAAAACATGTTTGGATAGGGTCTTTGGGCTAACCTTGTCGGCCTTTCACTTTATTGGTGCGAATTTGGGAGGGTGAGAGGGACACCTCTAATGAGGGGCAGTTTATATCCGGGCACGGACATTATTTGAGTCAAGGTGTTGGAAGGACCTTTTGTTTTTCTCACGACCTCTTGACCTTTCAGTTCCCTCTTAGCAACCAATTTTAGTCTTGTTTGGAGTCGTCGTGGACAGGGGCCAACGTTCCGGACCACTGTCCAACGAGCTGACCCAAAGGTGCCAACACATTGCTCGTGCACGTTCCCAAAATCTGGCGCGCAATGCCGCGGCACGCTGGCTTCGCATGGTTCTCTCCCCCTATCCAGTGGTCAGTGAAACGCGTCTTGCAGGGGGGGGCCAAAGGAAGCCATCTGTGTCGCCGGGGATTCTTTGAGTAGGAAATCCAATCCCAACACTTGGCTGCTATTCTAGGGCAGGCTAAAAATGGAACAGGGACAGAACGTATTATTCTCCACCCTTCTTGTGGGCCAGGAAGTCAGAGTGTGTTCTGGCGACCATCCGCTTTTCTGACGAGCTTCTCGGGCTCGCTCGCTCCTCTCTCTCCCTCTCGTTCGTGCGGAGGCTGGCCTCAGCAGTGAAGCCTTTGGACAGCGTCCTGGACAAAAAGCCGCTGCAACAGGCGGGACCCGTGTGACACGTGTGTCCCCCTTGCGCCATGGTCCCTCTGGTTGTCAAGGTTGGGGGATCCAAAAAAAGCCAGCCAAAAGGGGCTGAAAAAGCCCCGGCCTGAAAAGTTACTATTAGCCCTCCTTGATAACTTTGCTTGGAGGTGCCATACTCACGACTGGTTTTTGGCGTGGTCAAATTGATGAGGACCCTATTTCACAGAACCATCACCATAGCCCGCAGAAGGAGTTTTTGACAATGGCACATATGGTGTGTGTCTGAGTTTATGCACTTTTATGCTTTTCGGGGTTGGACCGAGAGATGAAACAAGAAGCTCCAGGCTTTTTCTGGCCAATCCACTCAGGGAGGGAGCTTAGGCTAGAAGAACAGATCTTTGGGCGAGCAAATCTCGCAGGAGCTCGCGGACGGCGCAGATCTCTTCGAGCCGCTGCCGGCGCAACAGCAGCAAGGGCAGGCGCGGTCCGTTCTGGGATGTGGCGGGGCGGTTTTCGGGTTTCATGCTTCATTTGGGTTTGGGCTTGGTTTCGGTTTGGGAAACCAAAGCCAACAGCCAGTTTTGGGGTTGCCCTATTTCGACACATGCCATCACATGCCAAATTGTGGTTTTCAGGTGTCATCTGGGGGTTCGAACCGAATTCTTTTTGTTCGGCGCGGAAACCGGTCAGACCTGGTGTCAGGTCTTGCTGCAGCAGGGGGAGCAGGTGCCTGAACGTTTGCCGGGAGCCCAAGAAGCGGGGTGCAGAGGGGGGGGATGGCAGGATGGGCAGTTGTTTGAGCGAGGGGCGGGTAAAATGAGCTGAGTTGGTAAAGATGTTTTGGGAGTTCTCAATGCAGCAATTCTCTACCGCTGTTGGGTTGGATCTTTAGACTTTAACTTTTTGGATTCCCCTCATACTTCCTTTCAACCAGCAAAAAGTTGAACTTTTTGCTGGGGGATCCCGCCAGCACCCAAGAATCGGGAAAGGTCATTTGGGAGTTCTCCATGCAGCCAGTTTGTTTCGGCCCTAAGCCACACACATCTTGGGTAAGGCGTTTGGGTCGCGCCCTCATGGGAGCCACCCTCATGGGAGCGAGCCGACCTGGGCCCTTGTTGCGAGAGGCGGGGCTTCATCCTGGCGCCAGACGAGAACGTCAAGGCTCTGCAGGCCCCTTGAGGGAATCCCAAAAGTGAAGCAGGTCACAGAGTCCCGGGCACAATGGAGTCGCAGCCAGTTGCCCAGTGGTGCCAATTCTTTTTCATTTTTTTTTGGAAGTTAAACTCAACCACCCCAAAAAAAGGATGCCCTTCTTTTCCAATGGCCACTGGGCGTCTGAGGAGTGCACACACGCACACATTCGCAAGTGGCCAGCGCACATTTGGTTGGTTGCTTTAAAAGGGAAGCCACTCGGGAGTCTGTCCTGCCAGGGCGAGCATTTCTTGGCCGCTTGAGGTGTTGTTGTGTTTTCTTTGTCTCTGTTTAGATGCTTATCTCTGCCAACATCTGCCAACCCTCTTGGTGCAGAGCAAAGAATCAAACAGTTTGCACAAGTTGAGCCATTCCCAGCTTTCGGCGGCGGTGAGAAAACACGGGGTGTTGTCACCGGGCTTCAATATAGGGACACATCTAAAAGCCACATGCTTCACAACAACATGATCTAAATCAGCTGGCAAAAGTGTTGTTTCCAGCTGGCCCAAATGCATCCTTTAAGGATCATAAATATATATATATATATATACATATTTATATACACACATATATATATAATATATATACATATAGGTGTGTGTGTGTGTGTGCGTGTTACTTGCTGAGTTGACTGGCTAGGGACAGTTTAAACTGATTGGCACCAAGCCTGGTTCCTTACGCCAAGCCCACAAGCCCTGTTCAATGGTGGAAACTCCACATACAGAACAACCCACATTTTTAGTGTCGGATTCTGCCCGGAGGATTTGGGTTTTCCCATGCCTCCTGCACACACCGAAAACTCCCACCCCTCTAAAAAAAAAGAAAAGCACATACAAACAAAACAAAACCACACATTTCTCATACATGTTCCATTTGGGTGAAGGGCCGGTACCTGGTCTCCATGCCTCCAACAGCCGATGCCTTGAGAGGGACGTCATATTGTGGATGCACGAAATCCTGCACCGCTTTCAAACCATGGTTGAAACCATTGTTGGTTGGCATTTACAGGGGAATCGTCCTACACCAGGGTTTCTTCGGTGGTGCGAAATGGATTTCGCAACCATCTACAGTGTTCTGCCGCGAGGTGCTGTACCACAACACCCTGCTGGGCGCCCACGTGGACGAGAGCTTCGTCGCGGGCCTTGCGGGACAGGAGACGCGGAGACGCGGAGACGCCGCTGTGAGCGAAGATCGGGTCAATCCCAGTTGCCCGGTGGCGCCCCTTTTTTTGGTTTTGTTGTTGTTTGTTTGGGAAGGGTTCCCCTTTAAAGTGAACCAACCCAAAAAACAGGATGCCCTTTTTGTCTCCCCATGGTTACTGGGCATTTGAGAATCCCCACGGGTGTGGGTCCCTTCTAGGGGACCCAGAAATAGTGGTCACGTCACCGGACTGGCTGTGCTCTTGCCTTCCGATGCCGTGGGAGCGGCAAAATCGGCTCCGAGGAGATCTTCTTTAAGTGAGAAAGGACTTCACTGTTCTTGGATCATGTTTTTGGTTTTTCGGTTTTTTGGTTCTGTTCAGATTTTTACTGGTCTGCAAAAAACAGTCAGTTTTTCGCAAGCCCATACCAAGAGTAGAGATGAGGAGTTCTACGGAGGTAGAAGGAACCGGTTCCTCGCCACAAAACAGATGCAAACAATGGGCTTGCGGAGGTTCGTATGGTGAGCTTGCGCGCTTGCAGTGTGAAGTTGGCGAATCCGCCGTTTGGCCCAAAGATGGGAGCCCCAGCCACCAACCATGCCAAACTGCAATGGGAAGCTGAGTATTGTTGGCCCCGGATTTTCATAAACTTCTAGGTGGTGTTCCCTCCAAAAATGATGACTCCCCACTAAGAAGCGATATACCCCCTACACCCAATACCCACGTTTTTCAGGGTATGATGTCGACCCTCTGCTAAAAAAGGAGGTATTTACCACGGAAAGCCAGGTTTTCCCAAAAAGTACCCTAGAAAAAAACATGTATTATTTGGAGTAGGGGGTACTTTGGGCTGGATGAATTCAGGGTTCCTGTTCTGCGAGTCAACCACATTGGACAGAGGGAAGCCAAAACGTAGACCTGCGCCTGTTTTGAGGGTTTGCGTATTTTAAGACACCCACACTGGGGTCATGTGCTTGTGTCCCCTCGCCACTGGACGGGGGTGACTTTGATGGTGAAATGAGTGGGCCAGACCCAGATGGCTGTGCTTTTGTTAAGCCCCCCCCCGCCCCGCAACAACTAAAATCATATATATATATATACACATATATATATATATATACATAGCGTGGTTTTCCTTCGGTTTCCCTTGCAAACCCCCAAAACGACAGACGCCCTCAAAAGAAAACACCCCAACTTTAACGCCACATAACACGAGAACCCTCAAGAAAAGACCCCCCCCCCCACCCCCCCTTTCAGCCCCCCACACCCCACCCCACCCCACTCCACCCCCACCCCACCACCCCACCCCCACCCCCACTCCCCCCCCACTTGCGCCATCGGGACTTGTTCAGGAGGTGGCGATGGATCTGGTGGACCATAGCCCTTTCCTGGTGCGGCGCGAAGCTCAGAGCGGAGTTCCAAACCGGTTGCGGCGGATGCGAACTCCGGCCAAAGGCGGAAACCACGAGAGGAAACCAACGGAGACCATGGGGTTTGCTACGGTATTTGCAGATGCTTACAGGGGAATCAGCAAAAAACAGGGGTTCTTAGGTGCGAAATCCAAAAAGGTAGGTGGCTGCCAGGGGACAACCACGAAACGGACAAACGGCGGAGCGGATTTCGATCCCCTTGGCGGGCGTTGGTTCGGTTCCTGTTTTGATGGGGATAAAGACGGCCCACCTTTTGAATCACCTTGGTGGAAGCAACAGTCAGTGAATAAAACGGGGGCAAACTCCACAGGTGTCCTTTCGGAGGTTGGGAAACGTAGATGGCGATCCCTGGTTGACCTGGTGGTTTCACCATTTCTCAGGGAGATCCAGCCTGTGATCAACCAAAAGGATCCTGTGATCGGATCCCGTTTCCGGGTGTTTGGGTTGGGTTCCTACCCTAGGTCCAGCAATTGGTGCCCCTTTCTCACGGATTCTTTTTTGGTTGGGAGATTCGGTTCGCTCACTGAAATAGACAAAACCGAAAGAAACAAGTTGGAAAGTTGGTACCCTTACTCTTACCCCTCTACTTGAGGACCTGGTACCTGGTTTCATTGGGATAAAGTTGAAAAGAAGGGCCTACAGCCTACAGATTTAAAACCAGCCAAAAGTCAAGTGAAACGGGCACTGCTCACCTGAGGCAGGCTACAGTAATGTCCGGATATGGGTCCTTTATGTGGATGCTGTGGATGCCCTCCGCCTCTTGCAAGTAGCTGGGAGCAAGTTGGAAACCCTGTAGCTTACCAGTTTTGGAGATTTTGTTTCGCGGCACTTAAGCCTGATGGGGTGTTGTCCACCCAAGATGGCACAACCTCCCCTTTTCAGTTTTCTCTTTTCCTCTTGACACATGTTACTTTCGGGCAGAAAGGCATAAAGGGAATGGTGCCATTACTTTCACCCCGCCAAGGTCAAAATAGAGACGTTGAAAGAGGTGTGTTCCCTATGTTTCTCCAGCACAAGCATCACCCCACCAGACAACTCACCCAACTTCGACCAAACAGCATGACGCCACAAGACTTATAACCACCCCACAGGCAACAAATAGGGGTGCTTTTGAGGGTACCCCTTTTTTCGGTTTTCAAAAGGAAGACCCCTCAAGGCACTCCGTGCGTTTCAAATGGAAAAACAACTATTCGGAACTTCCTCAGCGATTCAGGACGTCCTCAGCGAGCGACCTGTTCTTCCTGCCCGCCGGGAAATTGCACGCGCTGGCTGAGACGCGCCGTGGCTTTACTGTCTGGGGGTTGGGAACCAAGTGTTGAAACTGGGCTCGTTAGATTGACTTCTGGAAATCGGTGGTTGTTGTTTTTATCCTAACGCTTAGGGGGTGATTTTGGTGGGAAGATTGCGAGTGGCAAAGTTGGTTTGAACCGGGACGCGCTCTTTTGAGGGCTTTTAGGCGCGTGGGGTGTGGGGTGTGGGGGTAAGGGGTGGGGGTGAGGGGGCAAAGACGTGCTTTCAAGCCCGCCATAAGCCTGAAGCAAAACGCATAGACCCACGCCGTACCCGCTCGCAGCTCCCACGTTTGGGTAATCCTCAGGCACACCTGTTTACTCGAAACGTCGCCTGGCGTCCTTTGCGTGTCCAACCTCCAAGCCTCCAACCCCCCCCCCCCCCCCAACCAACCAAACCCCAGCCCCAACCCCCGCCAACCTCCCCGCAACCTCCAACCCTCCAACCGCCCCAGCCCCCCCCAACCAACCACCCCCCCCCCCACCAACCCCAAAAACGCGCCTTCTCCCCGGCCTTCGCCAAAGCGCGCCGTGAGACCCCCGCCGCTTCGGCGCCGCGATCGAGGTACCCGGAGGATTTGCAGCGCCTGGAGGAGCGGTGCAGGAAGTTGGCCTGCGGCCTGCTGAGGTCCTGGGTGCGCCGGCAGGGACCACCCAGCGGGCCGAGGTGAAAAGGCCCGGGAGATTCAACCAAAAGCGCCTGAGAGAATATAGAGAAAAGTGCATTGCATAATGCAAGCAAAAAATGAATCGTAACGATATAAACAACTTGTTCTTTAGGTTCTACATGCTGGGCTTAGTATATAACATTGTAACCTATATATATACATATTTATTTATGTATATGTACCAATGAGCATTATAATAATATAAAGGAACTTTTCTGTACGTTCTACATTTTGGGGTTCAGCAAAAAGGATGCACTCGAAGTGGGCGGAAGCCTCGTTTGAGGTTTTGCTGAAAGCTACCAGTAAAGGGACACGAATACAGTTGAAGACAAGGTTGCCTCATGAAAATAGTTGAAATCCTTCATGTATGGTATGGTGGGTCAAAAGGGCCAGTGAGCCAAAATGGGGATTTGGGCCAGTGTGTGGAATTGGGATCCTGGACACCCCCCCCAACTCCCCTCAGTTTATTGATGTTATGTTTTTTTTCTTTTTCGGGAAGACAGCTTTAGTGGCAGGCAACAGTTTGGTTACGTTTTGTTTGGCCAGTCCACTCACCAAGACCGAAAAACTTTAGCTTGGTGGCTCCCAGCCATCCGGTTCCTTGGCTTTTTAGCCTTTCAGTGTTTCCATTTAACCCACAAAAAGTGTTTCACTCTTCTCGGTGGATCTGAGGGCAGCGGAAGATCAACCACTGGATCTCCGCGGGATGAAAGCCGAGCCCGGACGCGAGCTGAGGTTCCACTCTCGCTGCTGCCCCCGGCTCTTCAGCTACGCCTCCCAGGCGACCGACTGGCGGTGGCCGGGCCGGCCGGGGCAGCCGGGGGCATGGGGCCAGACACGGGCGACGGGGCGCTTGCCGCTTGCTTTTTCCATTTGCTGAAAGCAAGTTGTTTGTTTCTTTTTCTTTTTTTTCTTTTTCCCCCCTTGTTGGTTTTAAAAGGAAGTTATCGCTATGGCTTCAAACGGAATTTATCACTACTGGACCATTTTTGTTTAATTTTTACCAGGGGTCTTTTCCAACAAGTCTCAGCCAGAGGAGTTCCTGTCCGCCTTCGTGGAGCTCATGCACGTGCGGCTCTACCGCGCTGAAGCCACCATCTGCCGGGAGGGCGAGCCTGGCAACTGGGGCCCCTCGCATGGCGAGGGCCGAGGGGCCGGTCTTCGGGTTTTCCCCCGATTGCGTGGTGCTGATGGTTGCGAAATCCATTTTGCGCCACTTGGAAACCATGGTTGAAACCATGTTTCTTTGCTGCTATTGGGTTGGATCTTTAGACTTTAACTTTTTGGATTTCCCTCATATTTCCTTTTAACCTGCAAAAAGTTAAACTTTTTGCTGGGGGATCCCGCCAGCACCCAAGGTTTCCATTGGTATTTACAGGATCGAATCTGAAACCGGGGTTTCTTAGTAGGCGGTGCGAAACGAATTTCGTCTTGGCCTTGCCTGCAGTGGGGTCGTAACCTACAGTTCTGGGCGCTTGGCTTGAAAAGGCAAAGGGGCTTGGATGACGCTTGTTTTGGTTGAAGGTCGGCTTTGCCAGCTCAGTTCGGGGCCCAGTTAGGGGACCTGTTGACCCAGGATGAAAATAAGCCCGTCCCACTGGGGGGGGTGGAAACCCCTCCAAAAGTGGTCCGGATCCAACCACTAAAAGGAATTGGACACCCCCCAATCAAAATCAACCAGGGGTTTTAAAAAAAAATCCGGGGTTCACGTTACCAGCTTCTCCGGGTCACTGGAAAAAGGTTCAAGCCGGCCCCAAAAGGGGCCGAGAGGCTTGGGACATCTTGGGACCCCTGGACCTTGAAGCCCAAGGCCCAGGGCCCCCCTGCGAGTGGGCATCATGTCTCACTTTTGGGGCTTGCAGAAATGGAATGGGCTTCTGAATCCGGGGTCAACGTGAAGTAGGTCGCCACAAGTGGGGTAGCTGAAGTTCGTGCCCTAACCCCCTGGCACCGCCCAAAACAGAAGCATACCTGCGCAGGAACCGGGCCTCTAGCGGGGCCCGGTGCCTGTGGTTGCTCGCGCTGGTTGGGTGGGCCCTGATTTTTCGTTGGCCGTCCTGGGGGCGGCCTAACACGCTGATGATTTTCCTATCATAGTCAAGGCCCAAGAGTGTCCTGCTGGTTAAGGCCCGGATGTTTTTCTTTTTGGCGAAGTTCACAGGGCCAGATATACAGCAAGAACTAACATCAAAGTCAGAATGCCTCTCGAGGATCGTGCGTCGTTGGGAGGAAGCGCTTTCCACTGGAGCAAAACCGCCAGTGAAACTTCGAGAAAGGAGGCCCAGCCCCAGCCGCGAGGTGCCCACTTCCCGAGGTGGAATTCGCACTGGCTGTGGGAAGCGGAACCCACTTCTGTGATACAACAAAAAAGGGCTTCTCAAAGACAAACTGCCACATAAAGAGGATAATCCCTCGTAGCACAGAAGTGGGGAAAAAACCCTTGATCCCACAACCCTGCTTAGACTTGTTTCGAAAGGCCGTTGGCTTATGCCCTGTAAGGCTACGTAACCCACACAGGTCCCCTGCCCAGGTCTGTTTGGCGATTCGGCATGGGGTTCCCTGCCTATTCTTTCAGCTTCTCTCTTGGTGGTTATGGGTGGTTTGGGTGTATTCCGGTGGGGGTTTACGCCCCAAATTTCACCACAGGGACCCGGTTCCAATCCAAACCACCTACTCCCGGAAGAAGTCTGATTCCTGGGCCTTTGACGGCGGGGATGAAAGCGCCGCAAGCCGAGGCTTCTACCTGCACACAGGACTGGTCACCGAATCGACGCAACATATATATTTTTTGATGCGGCAGGGGTTGCCCAAAGAGGAAACCTGAAAGAAAACATGCTGTGCGGAAAATAGGCAAGGGATCTATTTTTCGGACAGAAATTGTCGGGGGATGGAAGTGGACAGGGGTTTGCCTGCCCAAGTAGTCGTCCACAGCCCTCTTGTCAAGGGGGAGAGCGTCCTCCTACCGATTAACATGCCACAAAAAAGGGATCCCCCAAGAGGAGATCTCTCTACAATCGATGGTTTTTTGGGTACCATCTTAAGTTGCAGGGGAGTATCTCGTATCGTCTTTTCCTCCGCATGCACCCTCCCCAGCCTTCAAGCGGCATGCGAACTCGCACACGCCACGAGGACGCATGCGTGTGACCAAAAGCGGCGTGGAGGTGAGTCAGCTGCCAGCACCCCAGAAGCTGCTGGTGGTTGGCTCAAGCCGCGCAGCTTCGGGTCTCCAAATGAGTCACAATCAAAATTCGGGGATTGGTGAAGGTTCGTAAGGAACAGTCGCCATAAATAGTTGCGGATCTCCGCCTTAGTTCTTGAAGCATGGTTCTGGGATTACGACCATTCTAATACCAGCCTGGACCGCCAGTTGCTGCTTTTTTCCATGCACCTTTACCCCAAAAGCCAGCGACAGTGACCGAAAAAAGCGATCGCAACTTGGCCAGCTGGGAGGTTTGGTTGTGGCTCAAATTCTCGGCCAGCCCTCAGTTGCCGGGGCCGCGGGGGATGGCTGTGGAGATGTTTGGACTTCGGGGCCCCGGGAATCTGATCCTGGTGCTCACTTGCGACTCTCTGGGCTTTTGGTCTCCCTTTGCGCAGGGCTCCAGTCACAAGAGATTCATTTTGGAACCAGTTGACACATGTGGCCTTTCCCACCAAAAAGTGAAGGGGTTTACCACCATTTGCAAGTTGCAATGCTCAGGTTTGTTTTTTTTCTGTAAGGATCCCTTGTGGCAACCATCTTTGGAGGTCCCAAAAGGGTTAACCTTTTCTCTTTCCAGGTCGCCAGGCAACTGAGTATCCAAACTAAGCTCAAAGACCCGGGGTAGATCTCGCAGAAGAGTTGCCTCCAAATTGGAGATGAGGTTTGGTCGAACAGGGTGCCTTACAGGAAACATGTGGGCCAGCTAGCGCCAAACCGGCTGATATGTCCGGTTCCTTGTCCAGCAGGTGGTTTTGAGATGCATGCCTTCATGAACCCTGTCAAGCAAATACGCAGTGGGTCTCTGGGTTGAGTTGGGAAGGATACGGGAGGGACCGCATTTTCGCGCAAGAGGTGAGGCGGGTCGCGCGACTTTGTTTGGGTCTGAGTCAATGGAACCTTTTGAGCCCAAAAAAAGGCGAGCCACAAATTTGGACCACAGGGATTTCCATTTTGGGGGTCCAACTCCTGAAAAAAAAGGCGAGCCACCCAGGCTTTTCTCTTTTTTGCTGGTTCTCCTCTTGGTTTCCGCATAAACCCAACCAGAAACTCAGTTGTCCAAAGCCGACCTTTTGACCTTTTGGTTTTCCTAGTAGAGGTGCCAAAAGGTTAACCTTTTGGTTCTGGGTTCTTTGCGCAAGTGAGGAAAAGGGTTACCCTTTTGTCACCCTTTTTGTTTTGGCTGTTCTTGCTTTGGGGGCCCACCCACATTTTGCTGGGTTTCTCCTTGGTTTCCGCGAAAAAAACCCACCAACAAAACTTGGAGGCCGATTTTCTCAGAAGCGTCTCCGCCTCCGGAGGTGCCGCTTCGATGCGCCCGACGCCCGAGGTTCCAGGACGGCCGCGCCTGGCAGAGCTGGTGGGGCATGCTGGAGGCAGGCATCGGCATCCGAAGCGGGCGCCATTTCTGGGGATACGCTTTTTATCGACATAGGGAACCCCAACCAATGGAGTCCCCAAAATATGGGCAGCTGGTGTTTTGCTTCCTGTCAAACGCATCCACGGGGTTACCCTTTTGTGCAAATACCCGTTAAGCTTTAGATAACTTCCCGTCGAGTTTCCTGTGCTGTGAGAAACAATCAGTTTGCACATGGAACCCAATCGCGCCCCACCCATTTCCTAGCTAATTGTTTCTGCGGGGTTGGCCACCCCTCGATAGACCCGGGGCAACCCTTTCGGGACATAATATAAACCACCCTGGGTGTAAGTCCATCCGGAGATAGTCAGCAAATGGAATTCAGTGTTCCTGGCTATAGGGCTTCAAGTTATAGTCAGTTTGTGAAGTTTCTGTTGGCCCCCTCGCAAGTCGCCCAGGGTAGCCATCACCTACGATAGGTCTTTAAGGGAATAAAGTCCCATGGATTTGGCGGGTCTTTGACCCATTGCGATTTGTTTTTAAATAACAATAATAATAATTTTTAAGCCTCAACATGGATTTTGTGGCTCCTCTTGGTTTCCTCTCAAGTGGGATGCTCTCAAAAAGCCGCGGGCGGCCCTGACCTGACCTCCCAGAAGCCTCTCCAGGTGGGCAGCACCTGTGTGGAGCAGCGGTCTCCTCGGGCGAGTTTCGCTTTTCGCGCTCGTTGCGAGTCGACCTTTTGATCCGACCTGAACCGGTTTTACTCAGGGTGGTGGGATCGCTCGGAAGTGGTTTCTCCAACCACTTCTGTGATACTGTTGGGATTTTTTCTTGAAATCGAAGAGAAGATCGTCTTTGGGGTTAGGCCCTCTCTGTTGTATCACAGAAGTGGATTCCATTCCCCAAAGCCCTGCTTTTACTGTTTTGGGGAAGCTGAAAGGAAGCCAGCCGCCCGGGAAAAAAACCAACTGCGTCCTTTCGTGGCAGCTGGTCTCTCAGAGGAAGCACCACGTTTGGTCATCCCCTTGAGTTGCCAAGGGAGTTGTGCCATCTACTGCCATCCAAGTGTAGGAGGATGAGGAAACCGAGTTTTCCCGTTTTGCATAGGTTGCAAGAGAAACTAAGAGCAAGTCTCCATTTTATTGCCCTTCCTTTTTTGGGGGAGCAAGGCCTCGTGTGCCATGGTAGGGACTGTCATGCACCCATGTTCGGGGATTTTAGGCCATGGAACGGATTCCAAACAAGGGTGTGGTTTTGCTGGGAGCTTCGTTTTGGGTCGTTTCAATGGGAAACCCAACCGCAACCACCCAATCCACGGGTCCCATTTCGAGACGAAAGCAGCCAGCCCACAGTCGCGGGCTAAGGACCTGCACGGTAACCGCCAGGCGCTCAGAGGTACTTGGGGACTCGGAGGCACATGGAACTCAACAATTTGCTTCCTGCCTGGAGTCTCCGTGACCCTTGAAAAATTCGGTCGTTGCCCGAAATGTTCAGGGGTCATGACCAACCATGTTTTTTGGGGTCATGACTCCAGGTGCTGATGGAATTCAAGCTCTGCGAGTAAGACGAGCTCACTACGATGGTCAGATAAACTTGGGGATCGCGGGTTTCATTGTTTTCACCGCTTGAGCCGACTGAGCGGCCATGAGGACCATTGGGATCCCGGGTTTCAAACAAAAAGGAATTTCAGATTTACTCACAGATGCTTCAGTGGCACCCTGGTTCCTTTTTTTTTTGGAGGGGGTGGCTGCCCCACTAAAAATGGTCTTCCCCAAAAAGGGTTCCATTTTTTCCCAGGCCCACTGAACAACTGAGGAGTTTCTGGACTCGCCCGTCCCCAAAGCTTCAAGGGTTTCTGCATGTAGCGCTTGTGCTGTCTAGATTCTTGCTTTGAGGGACAATGATAAACAAAAGAAACCAAACAAATACAACTTTTTGGACTGAGTCTAGGATGAACCTCTGAACCTCTCTCAGGCCGAGAGCGACTGCATCGCTTGGGTCCTGCAGACTCGGGATGCCGAGGCTCCGATCATCCGATCCGCTGCAGTTTTTTTTGGTCTTGGCGTCCTTGAAGCGAATTCCTCCCGTAAAAACGGGTGTACTTTGGTTTGTTCCATTTTTTTCTCGGAAAAACGGGTGTACTTTTGTTTTTTTTCCCTTTTTTTTTGGGGGGGTTTGGGGGTTGCCAAGCGAAGGGTACTACTTTTTGAGGGCGAGTTTTGGTCTCGTTTAGGATCGGTTTTGGGGCGTTGCCCCAAACCACCAAAACTCGCCCACAATTCACTTAACCACCCAAAAGCAACCCTAAAGCCGCTGCTAAACCAGCAGCACACCTGACACAAATCAGCTCCGAACCAACCCAAACCCACTCAAAGTCAACCCTAAACCCGCCCAGCGGCAGCCTGGATCTGGAGCGCTTCGCTTCGCCTAAATCACCCCCAAACCACCCCAACCGCCCTCATGAAGATCTAAGCCAGCCAAAGCCGCCCTAACTTAAACAAGCCCCCAGCAACTCCCAACTGCCACCCAATCAGAGTCAATAAATAGGCAACCCCCAGGTCCAAGTGATGCTGGAGATGCTGGAGAACCCGTTGCCGTAGGGGGGGGGGCTGGAATTCCAAGGGAAACTGCAGCAGAACTCCGCAGTGTCGCCAGTGCCGGCAGCGCATGCCGCTGCCAGCCACAACCGGAGGGGCTCCAGGTCAGCCTTTTTTTTTTTTTTTCCGGCGGGCTCGCCGGCTCCATGGGTATGGGTCAAAATTTTACCTTACTGGGATGCGGGCCGCAGATATTGCTCCATGTTCCATGTAATTACCAGAAAGACCAATTTTGGGTGCCCAGTTTCGACCTCTAAAATCAAAACCCCCCAAGAAAGTCTCCATGTTCCACGTGCCAGGGAAACCTATTTTGGGGGCCCAGTTTCGACCCACTGCCATCTTTGTTTCTCCAGAAGGGGAGAAAATGGGAACCCGCCACAGCCCGAACCACCGGCGCCAAAGCGCCAGGAGCTGCGCAGTGGGAAGTATCGTGAGTGCCGGCTGCTGGACAAAGTTGCGATCAGGCCACGTTGAGGGCTGGGTTGACCAAAAAAAATGGAAACTGGGCCCCGCGGCAATTGGTGCCCTTTCTTTTACCCTTTCTTTTTTTGGGAGAAGGTTCCCCTACTAAAATAGACTACAGAAAAAAAAGGGTACACTTAGTCAAACCTCTCTACTGGAGGACCTAGAGGAGCTTCTCCAAATGGTGGACCCCTTTTGGAACCTAAGAGGGGGCACAAAACAATTGGACCAAAGTACATTGTTGGGGACCGTTGTTTTGAGAAGCTTTCAATTCTTTTGCCACATGGTGTGGGCTTCCCGCGGATACGGATGCCTTAGAACCCTCGATCGGAAGGGCTTTGGATCGAAGGGTCTGATTTCTTTCGTGTGGTGAGCCCCACGCAGTCGCATCAACGGAAGAGAATCAATCATCCCCATGGCATCCAATATGTGGCATATTTTTGTTGTTGATGCGGTTGATTCCAAGCATTTCCGGTTGAGCCTCCCACTTGTTTTTTGGTGCACACGGCCTTTTCCAACAGGAAATATGAGTCAAAGCGGAAGGGGTCTGCGCATTTCCATGGTGGGCAACCATGGCGTTTTCCCCCCCCCCCCCCAACATCAAGCCCGGTCCTTGGTTACGGAAGGATTCGTCGAACGTTTTTTTGCCATGACGGGCGTTTCTCTGGTCAGACGTACGGGAACCTTTTTTGGGGCACGACGGCGTTCTTCCGCCAGGCCAAGCATGCTTTGATTTGTTTCTTCGCCGCAAATTTTTCCCACAGAGAAGGCGGGAATGGATGAAGACCCTATGAATGTCTCACTCTTTTTTCTTTAACGTCTTTTTCCTATTTTTTTGCGGGGGTGGGTTGGGCTCCTTGCCAAAACTGACAGAAGGTTTTGGGAGACCCTGCAGTTCCCATCGGATGAGGGCTCACAGGTCATGTCTTGGCCGCAGTTTTCGGCCCTTCAAAACATCGGCGGGCGAAACACCGCACAGCAAGAAAAACAACCGGCGAAAGATCTTGTGTGGTCGCTCCGCGCTCCGATCGGATTCCCTTGGATTCCGCTCGAGCGGCGCGAGCTTCTCCCGAAGCCGCGCTCGGGGCTCGCCGCGGCTGCAGCGCTCGCTCGCGGATCATGCGGCGAAGCTACGGCCTGCTGCTGGGGCTGCCAGTGTGCTTCGTGCCCTCCTTTTGGTCAAGTATGCGATCGGGCGAGGCCGAAGCAAGGGGATCAAGAGATGGGAAAAGGCCCGATGAGGATGTGATGGCCATTGGTTGGACAACCACGAAAAAAGACGAGGCTACGTTTCCCACTGGATGGGACTTGGGGCTGAAGAGAGCATTGAGCAACCAGAAATGGAGTTCGCTTCAGGTCTCGCTCTTCCCTCGTGGTGCCCTCTGGCAAGACAGTGGGACCATAAACCTTGCAGTTCACCAAACTTTATGTTTCTTTTTGCTTGCGGGCTGTCTTGGTTTGTTCTTTTGAAGCACGACCAGAGTCCCCAGCAGGTGTCCGATGCTCGCTAGACTTGCGGGGTTTACATTTCATGGGTTGCTTTGTTTTTTGGGTATCTTTTCCGGCCCCTTTTAACATCACCCCACCGAAGTAAAGCCATCAAGGGGCAGGTAAGGGGCAGGTAAGGGGCAGGTGGCCCTCTGAATTGGTGGCTTGGCTTGGTGGCTTGGGGGATGTGAATCCCAGAGGAAGGGTATGGGTTAAACTTGACCCGCCAGGATACGGACCGCAGGCGATCCAGGGCAACCCATTTTGGGTGCCGATGTTCGACGTGTTTTTTTTCTCCCTCCTCCCAGAACAGGACATGGGACACCGCTTGAACCTCCAAACTGTCGGGCTCCCAGCCAATCAGCTCGGAGCTCCCAAGTTTTTCTTTGCACAGCTCGGAGCCGCCAGGACGTCGCCCCGAGCACATCCTCACGGCAAGGCCTGGCCGGGCTGCGCGCGGCGCGCGCAGTGCGCACGGCGCGGCGGGCGGTGATGGACCCGCCCACGCGCATGGCGCCGCCGAGCTCGGCGGAGGTGCTGGGGCAGAGCTCGTCCTGGGCAGAGTCCCAGTTGCAAGAAGTGAGCTGTCGCTTTTTGGAGGTACGCTTGTTGGGGTGGGTTTAAAAGGAAATCAAATCAAAGCACACCCATCATTCTTAGGGACCCCTAAACTAAAACCCACACACACACCCATTTGCCTGTGTGTGTGTGTTTCTGAGGGGGCCCAAAGAAAAATGGCTTTCCCTTGGCGCTCACGAGGAATGCATTAAGAATGGAAAAGCGCCCTCCGCTGGTGCCACGTCAGGAGTGCATCCTCGAGGAGTGCAACGAGGAGGGCTGCAAGAGGATGGAGAGCTCTGGATGAAGAGAATGTTGGACCCCATGTGAATCAACCGTTGTGGCGCTTGAAAAGAAAGGTACACGAGGGGCTTGGTGCCCCTTCCATTGTTAGCGTTGGACCAACCCCTTTGCTCCTGTTGGTTAATAGGGGTGCTTTTCCCAGGCTTAGTGGGAAATCAGACCGCTTGCAAAGATCTTCTCATTTTTTCCCGGGGGCCTAAGCAAATGGATCGCCTGGTTTTTGGATTTCATCTATGTGAATCGACATGAATCAACTTTTTGATCTGACCTCAACCGGCGTTTCCTTTTTGGCTTTTCCATATCTCTAGGTCCCTCAGAATCAAGGGAGTGAGCTCATTTGATTGACAGAAGGCAAGGAATAATCCCAACCATAAATGGGTGCAGCCGCCTTCCTTTCTTGTATGGATTTGGGTAGACGATTTTAATGCCAGGTTTTTGATTGTGACTCAACTTGAGGGATGATGCTTCGGGATTTGCACCGGCCCGAAGTTTTTTTTTTTTGTAAACAACAAGAGGTCAATGGTTTGCCCGTCTCTGATGTTTTCGGTTTGGGTTCTGGTTTGGGGTGTTTTGGGTTGACCCGCCTCGGAATCCTGACGTATTTGGGCTGCCGGGTGGCATGATTCAGAGGGTTCATGTCGAGGAACTGGGTCTTCCGGAAGGAGCACGCGGAGGACTACCAGGCGCGGCATTTTTTTTTTGGCTCGAATCCACAGTTCGATTTCTAGCCTACAGTTTGCAACGACTTTCTCCGGAACTGTTGCTGGATTTTCCATGGTCTTGTCCAATTTGGGTGATCACCTTGGACGTATTCCAAAGGGTTTTTCCTTGGGCAAGTGAGCAGGCCTTCCTGAACATCCGGAACGTGAAGCCTCAAGGCTTCCTGCCCTACCACGGCTCCAACTCCTTCAATACCTCCGCCTCTCGGCCCGGGTGGGGTGGGGTGGGGTGGGGCTTTGGCGAGTGGCACGAGGGGTGCCAACCGCAGGCGTAGGCTCCAGTTTTTTGGGTGGGTGGGGGAGAGTGGAGACCTGGTGACCCAAGATGGATTCTGCTCCATTTTTCTCTGCTGCTATTGGGTTGGATCTTTAAACTTTAACTCTTTGGATTTCCCTCATATGCCCTTTTAACCTGCAAACAGTTAAACTTTTTGCTGGGGGATCTACAGCACCCAAGTTTTAGACACGGCCTCAAAAGGTGACCACCTTTTTTATTTTGGTCCTTCGAGCAACTGAGAGGCACAAAAAAGCTGACCCCAGGATGGAGCAGAACTCCTCATTGATTCTGAGCGGATCCTGACGTCGCATTTAAAGTTAAGAGGGTCCTGATGGGACACCCCTAAATATCTAGGTTGAGTAATCCGGACAAATACGCGGCGAATGCGCGAAGACATTGTTTGTGTGCGTGTGTGACGCTCAGCAGAAGCCTCAGATGTACTTCGAGTGTTCTTTTCCTGTGAAGTGCGCGGCTACCCGTTAAATAGTGGCTATAATAATATACTGGTTGTAATCATCTCCCAAAGAACAACTCGGATCCAAAAAAGATCCCTGGAAAGAATGGACATGGACGTCTAGAAGTGGGTGTGGCTCAAAATTAAACGATCGGAGGGGCAAACCGCAGCTTTTGGCCCATGTTTCCACATACCAGGGCTCCCAACCCACGAATTCGCCACAGCTTAGAAGTCTTCGTTTCCCGAGGTCATGTGCCGGGAGCGGGCCATCGACGTGTCCCTCACCTGCGCGGAGTGTGTGCGGCTCATCATCGGGGGCCCTTACGGCGCCCGGGGGGTGGCAGTGGGCGCCTACCCCCCAGAGGCGCAGGCAGGATTCGGCAGGATTGGGGCCGCGATGATGAGCACAAATCTGCCGATTTCATGCAGGGCTCCGAACAAAGAAGAAGAATAAATTTCCATTTTGCAACCAGTTGAAACATGTGGCTTTTTCATTGAAACATGGCTGGCTTTTTCAACTTTCCAAAATAAAGTTGGACACACCACCATTTACAAGTTGCAATGTTCGATCGGTGTTTTTCATGCATCCGGATCCCTGCTATGGGCTTGGAGCTGGGGTAAAACACGAGCTCATGATGTACTCGGGTATTCAACCAGCATCAGTTGGAAGTATGGACACATGTTGGCATAGCTGGGGTGGCTGGCGAACTTGCCCCAACAACTACTTACCTGACGCTGGTTGGACACAGCCGATCCTTTACTTGAGGATCCCTTGCTTCAGACGTTTGGCACTTGGAGGCGGCTTCCCTTCTGGATACAAGGCTGCTTGTGGCGATCGGTTACGGAGGAAGCGGCGAGTAGTTCTGATGACATCCCATTTTACCATTGTTAGTCGCCCCCAAGTGGCTCATTCCACTAGGGGTGGAAACCACCTGAAGCAGCGATCGCCTCCTGAAGTAAGGCTTTAGTGCCCCTTTGGCCAGTTGCTGCTCCAAACCGTGGCCTACGGCGAAATTTTGTGATTTGCAGGGGGTAATGTGGAATGAGGGTTCTTGCACGTTTAGGAGCCTTTCGTTTCTTTGCAGCGGAGACATCAAGAACAACAATTTCGATGAAACGGTTAAGCACTTGGGGCGCCCCAGAACTCGTATCAAATGATTCCACCTCCTTCCCTCAACCCCTTCCCAAAGAACGGCCCTTTCTTACAGCCTTGGGCAGGTGGGGCGAAAGATTCAGGAAGGACCCCAACAAAAGGGTCCAAGAGCTTCTTTTTTTTCTCCGACTTTTCTGGGTGCAAAAGGCCTTTCAGCCTTTGCGTGCCGAGGCACTGAACACACTGCTTTTCCGCGACTCTGTACACAAGTCTTGGCCAGTCACAGTAGTCAACTGTCGGCCCTTGCCAGGTGCATTGGTTGCACATGCATCAAAGTCTGGCTGAAACAAGTGATCATTTTCTTCAAAACATCAAGCCATGTGTTGCAGTGGCACGGGTTTTTCCTCCCCTGGGCCCCTGGAGGTCTTGCCTTGCCTGGACCTTTCGAAGAGGCTCCCGAAGACGAAGGCGAAAGAGCACGAGAGGTGGGACGGCAACCAGGATCGGGGGATCCGGGCATGTCCGGGCGTGTCAGGGTGGGGCTTTGGCCGTAAAAACGCACCTAACAAGTTTTGGACTAAGCGAAGGACAAGAACCTCGGGCAAGTTCGCGTGTGGGTGCGTGTTTTTTTTTGGGAGGGGACCCCCATGGATTGCTTCAGGAGGTCCCGCGCCAGACAGCCTTTTGCAACGTGGTGAGCCTCGGCATGTCCTGAGCCTCGATCCCTCGATCATTCGGATCCCGCGCGGATCGGATCATTCGGATCACTCGGATCGCTCGGGGCTCGATTGGTCGGCAGCCTGGGGCCAGGAAAAGACACCGGGGACCCCAAAGAAATGGCCCCCTCACCCCCCCCCCCCCGCAAACAAACAAACAAACACGCCCCCCAGATGGATGTTGGGCGCCTTCAAAGCCAAAAGGAGTTGCTTGAAACAAGGCCCTCCCTCCCAGTAGCATAGCGCCTGAGACAGGGTGCCTTCAAGAGGACGCTGATCTTCCGTGTGCCCTCTTACAGGTGCTATGTTTGTGGGAACCAGCCGAACCAGCCGAACCCAAGACGGACTTCCGCGGCCGAAGGCCCAAGTGGCGGAACAGTGGCCCTTGCCAACAAAAAGCCGCGGGCCCGGGCGGAGGGAAAGAAAGCGCCGTCTAGCTTAGTTGAACCGGGTCTGTCTTTTTTTGGAGTTGATACCATTTCTTTCTTTTTTTGGGGGTTAAGGTAACAGCAAAGCCAAGATCCATTTTAGAGGGGTTCGATTCCCAAAAAAAGGCACACCCAGCCCTCTCCGGTTCTTCAGTTTGAATCCTTTGGAGTGTCGGAGCTGCACTAATTCGTTCCGCCGAGCCTCGGCTCGGCGTGTACAAATAGTTGGGCCTCCTGCGATTTTCCAGAGGTCCAGTGCAAGGCGTTCAAAAAGAACTTCAGTTCGAGTCTTCGCCGGTTTCTTGTGCGCTCTCGGCTGAAGCTTGGGTTGTGCAACCTCATGTGGCAGCAAACCAATGCCAACGCCATGTATCAATTCCGGGGAGTTGCGAATTTTTCTCATGGTTGGCAGACGACCCAGGTAAAAGCACCGAAGCGCAAATGCTCAAGTAGTCTGTAGCTTTTTCCGTTTGTCCCCGGGACAGCTTCCCATCGGATTTCCTCGCGCTTGAACTAGGGCGGCAGGCGCGTGATGGAACCTCCGCATGGTCCTGAGGGCTCCACACTGAGGAGCGTCGAGCGCGTAAAAAGACAGCGTTCGAGCGAGTCGTGGAAGGGTCTCTCAAAGTTTCATGGGGCGGTGTCACCTTCAAGCATCACTAGGATAACGTTGCGGATGGCAATTCAGTGGAACAGTGATCCACAGGTTGCCAACTTCCCGTGGCCAAAAAGCCCGAATGGAATTGGATCCCACCACTGGCTGAACCTTTGGTGTGACCAAATCGGGCCAAAGGGATGTTCAAAGAAACAAATCGCTTTGCCACTCAACCTACAAAAGGTCGGGTTTCCCTCAGTTGGTGGCTTGGGTTGGTGGCTTGGATTTGGGTTTGACTTTCTGGTTCCGGTGGAGGGCAAATTGCGGGAAACCGCATCCCCTAAAGCTTCAACTGGGGCTCCAAGCCACGGAACCTCAGCAGGGGAGCCCCGCGGCCTTTAAACCTCAGGGGGTGGCTCCACGGGGCTGAGCCCAGAAGACTTCTGCCCTTGCCACTTCTCCCCGAAAGAGGAGTCGGGGGGGGCCGACTTCGACAGAAGTTGGGATCCCGAATCGGGACCGGACATGTTCCAAGCCTCTCATCTCGAGCTCAGTTTGACTTGAGTCGCGGGCTTTTTTTTTGGCCGCCCAAGAAGGCACGGCTTGATCAAAACGAGTTTTTTTCTCGGAAGCAGGGTGGTGGAAGCAAGGAATTGGTTGATTCCCACTTCTGTGCTACTTTTGGGAATCTCCCCCTTTTTTTACGGGGCGTTAGTCTTTGGGAAGCCCTTTTTGTTGTATCACAGTGGATTCCATTTCCCACAACCCTGCTCGGAAGGGACATGGACGCCAACCCTCGGAAGGGACGCCCGGACGCCAGGAAGGTGGAGGGGGATTGTGCCCAAGAAACCCGCTCTACCCGAAATTTGACCGCGACGGCAGGCATTTGGAGCTGCTGAACAAGCACATGGACGCCATGCGTCCCGGCATTACTCAGTGACTCACTCCCTGGAGTGAGTTTTTTTTTTTTGGGGGGGGGGTGGGTGGGGTAGTTTTAGGGACGAAACCAAAAAAAAAACCAACCACTCCCAGAGTCAAGTTCCACTTGCCTTGGCTGGTGTTTGGTATCGCCAAATCGGCCCTTGGACCTTTGGAGGGACATTAACCCAATCAGCGCTCGAGAAACCTGGTTTTGCATTTGCATTGGTTGTTGGATGTCCCCTAATATTGCTGGAGTTGGGGTTGACGGGAACTTGCTCGTTTAGAATTATTAGCCTAGTATTGCAACTCAGAAAAGTCGCTAAACAAGTAAGCACATGAATTAATAGATAAAGGAACAAGGTGCATGTATTATCACAGGGGCGGATTCCACATTCTGATGGCAGCCGTGGATTCCGCGCGGATTTTGCAGATCAACACCAACCGCAGAGGTCACAGTATCCACACCTTGTCCCCCCAAACTCGAGGGAAAGCAAAGGGAAAGCCATTTTGCTGGCGTTTTTCAGCGAATCGCCCGGTTCCTTGTTTAGTTGCTTGAGTGGCTGGGTTTCCATTCAACCCACGAGTTCTTCACTCTTCGCAGTATTAGGCCTACTGTGGATGAACGAAATCCATCTCGCACCACCTAAGAAACCCTGGAATGTTGGTTCTCCTGTAAGCACGAACAAACAATGGTGCCAACCATGGTTTCTCAGGTGGTGCCTAAAAGGATTTCGCAACCATCAGTATGTGCAAAGCATGGTGTCTCGCTTTTTGGCCCCGCGGCTCCGGTGGCTTGGGAGCTGAGTCGGGGTTGCCTATGCTTCCCTAACCTCACCCCGCCAAAAGGACGCCTACTGAAGCTTTGCTCAAAACCTGGTGAATTCTATTGTCAAGTTCGTGGTTTTGAAGCGACACCAAAAGGACAGCCACACATTTTTAGAGCTTCCCCAATTTTGACCCGTGAGGTTTTCGGGGTTTGCGTGGGGGTCTCCATTTCAGCCACAAGGAGAAGCCTTAAATCGAAACTGGGGCCCATGGGATCGGAACTCGGATCCGAAATCGAGGCGCAGCATCGCGATGTTCGCGGACTGCGGGAAAGACTTCCTGGAAGTGCTGAAAGGCGGGATCTCCCCTTGAGCCCTTGAGCCGTTGGGCTAGACTTGGGGGTTGATTTGGGCCTGCCTCGTTGAACCAGGATCTCAGAACCGGACAAAACCTGTGAGCCTTAGGGGTAGTTGTGACTCAGAAGCGGTACACTCAGTATGTGAGCCGTTGAGCCTTGGGGGGGGGGGGGAGATTTGGGCTTGTCCACACCCGTGAGCTGTGGGTGTGGAGTAGATGTTTGTCGTTGGAGGGCACCCATGTTGGGACCGGTTTAAAGGGGAGCCAAAAGACGCCACCTATTTTGCGGGGGTGCCCGTAAGGGCGGTTTCAAAGAGAAATGCGCCAAAAAGGTGGGATAGTATAAGTCAAGGGCATTTCCTGATATGGGTTTTGGAGGTATGGAGTTATGTGACCACCCACCTGAGGGTACATGCTGCCTTACCAAGGTCTGTCAGCTGTGTCTTTTTGTTTTTGGTGGGGTCGTTTCAGGGGCTAGAAGAAGATTCACTCCCTGAGTTCAAGGACCACGGGGGTGGGTAGTTGAGAGCCCCAAGGTTCCTTAGCGTTCCCCCACCCCACCACCACCCCCTGGACCCCCCCTCACAATTCCCCTAGCTGTAGATTGTTTCCGGGTGTTCTCTACTCCCTTGCTACTCTGCAAGATGACACGGAGTTCGTCCCTCCAACCGCAGATTGCCCAACAAACCAGCGAGGGTTAGGTTAGGAGTGGTCAACCCACTGGCAGATGGTCCTTTGAAGCGCCAACGCACTTGTTCGAGGGACCCCCAGTCAAGTGTCACAGTCGTGATGGATACGATTCATTGATTTCCTTGATCTTACTCCATTGCCAAGGCCTTTTAGCAGGTTCATGAAAGAATCCAATTTGCAAAGTCTGGGTTAGAGCTGCTCCGAGCCTCAAAAAACCCACTCCGCCGGAGAAAAAAACGGAAAAAAAGAAAAGAAAAAACGAAGAAACAAAACAACAACAGCTGGAGTCTTTCTGGGTTCTGCGCGGAGGCTTGGCTTTGGGCACCTTTTGGCCTTCAGTCGCCCAGTCGCCCCCCCTCCTCCTCCTCCCTTCCGCGCGGGGAAAATTCCGCGGTTCTCATGGCCTCAGGGGAATTCGCTCAGAGGCGCGGAGCGATCCGGGGATGGGCGAAATTTTGCGATCCAGGGTTTGATGGTCTTCGATGGGTAACCCAAAAATAGACGGGTATCTTTTTGACAACAGATGGGCAACCTAAAACACACATAGAACACATGATGGTGACCCCATATTTTGCCAAGGATGTTAGGACTTTAGCTTTTTGATCCAACTTTTAGGGGTTTTCCGTATATTAAACCACTAAAAGTTAGTCACTTTGAGCAGGGGAGCATGGAAAGTGGAAAGTGGAGCTCCCAAGTGCTTTTTGGGGGGACCTTGTCTTGTTTCTTGCTCATCAGCGGGCAAATCTAGGGACGAACAACCAAGACTTGGCTCACAAACTTGTTGGTGCTCAGTACATGGTTGTTGTTGGGAAACATTTTTTAGATTTCTGCCAATTGTGGTTTAGTGGTTGGAATCCAACCACTTAACTGCTGAACAAATCATTTTGTTTTGTCCCCTTCCAACGTCAACCAAGTTTTGGGGCCCAATTGGTTCTTCATGTCCCATTCTTTCCAGGGATAAATAGAGAAAAGCTTCAGACGCCCAGGTTGGACAGGGCTCCCCATATTTCCCGTTAAAACATGACCCCCACCCAGGGATACTCACGTTTCATGGGCGAAAAAGGTGATGTTTAAATATAGGGAGCCCTGTTGGAAACAGATCTGGCTTTGGAAAAGAGCGATGGTTGAAAAGAGTGGAACAGGAATCAACTTCTGAATAAATAGTCTCTGGCCCTCACTTCGCAAGCCAAGGCTTTACTTGCTGGTGCGATAGGCAGGGAGAAATGGAATGACACCCCCCTTTAAGGCAATTCCCAGGTTTATTCCCTCATTTCCTACTTATTGCACCAGCAAGTTTATCACATATCGGGGCTGGTGAAAGGAATTGGGCACTGATTTTACGCTGTTTTTGTAACGGCGTGATGCCGTGCTCTGGCCGGGGGAGGAGGGGAACGCGAGAGACGCGAGAAAACCAAGAGACCTTTGAGGAGAAACTGGTAACCAATCCTGCGAACGTGACGATTTCTACCCATAGGCACCGCTTCTGGTTTTCGCAACATGGGTTTGGGCCTCAAACCAACCGCATGGGGAGGGAGCCCATTGCCCCAAAAAAAGCTCGGCGAGTTGTGGAAGTGACCTTACTTTCTCAAACCACAGAAGACGAGACCGTTTTGAGAAACACTCTGGATCAAAGGCACTATCTTTGGCGTGCTAGATAGGGGAATCTTGGAACCCTCTCAGTCTCAGTCACAGCCTGCGTCACAGTGTCAGTCTCTCAGTCTCCCTTAGTCTCTCTCAGTCTCCCTTAGTCTCTCTCAGTCTCCCTTAGTCTCTCTCAGTCTCTCTCTCTCCCTCTCTCTCAGTCTCCCTTAGTCTCTCGCAGTCTCTCTCGCTCTCTCTCTCTCTCTCTCTCTCTCCCTCTCTCTCTTTCTCTCTCTGTCTTTCTTTTTTTTTCTCGCCCCTTTGCGCCGCCGGAGTCGCACCAGGCTCTGTGCGCGGGATGAGGTGGTCTTCAAGGAGAGCGAGCTCGGGGAGGAGATGTTCGCCTCTTGGCCGCTGACCTTTGCTGCAGCCATAAATCGTCTCCTTGAGTTGCTGGACTTTCGTCGCTTTTCGGGGTTCGCACCATTTGAGTGGCAAAGAAGCGATGTTGTGTTCTTTTTGGCCCGGAAACAGACCTTGGTCTTTGAATCGGCAAAGGGAGCAATTTTTGTCGCCCGCCAAGTCGCAAGAGGGCACCCTGTTCACCCTGATTTAACTGGAAACCAACAAAAGAACTCAAAGCATAGGCGTCCTTTTTGGTTGTTTTGCTAGAAAAATAGATGGCTCTGGTTTACCTGGTGGTTTAATCATCTGCCAGGGCCATCTATTTCCCTTAAAAAGACACCTATGACTCAAAGGCTGAATGTATATGCCCATGTGTGAACCCCTGCTTTGAACCCATCCGCCATTTTGCTTCGAGGTCTTGGCCCTGGGCAAGTGCAAGGTGCTTCGCAGCCGGCGGCTCAGACCGGTCCGAAATGCAACGGGTGGGGCCCGAAGGCCCCAGGTTGCGGGGTGCCAGGGCGTATATCCCATAGATGGTTTTTTTTGGATTCCCCCCCCGAGCAACATGGTATCTGTTTTCCTTTTGGTGTTCCTTTTGAAGCCACAAACGTCACCAAACAAGGTACCCTTTCAAGAAGGCACACCCATATTTTGAACCGTTGGTCTGCAACTTGTCCCAGCACCATACCCAAACCCCCCCCCCCCCAAGGCCCCCCTCCCTGTTTCCCCGACACATCGTTCTAACTTATGGACTCTTCTCAAGGAAAGGGCAGTTGCAGAGCTGCAGAAGAGGAGGAGGGGAGGGGCTTAGATCCTAAGATCTGACGTAATTTTCAATTTGACTAGGGTGCCGAACCCCCCCTTTCTCCACTGCTCTCCGGTGTTCTTTTCGCATCGGTTTTGGATGCGGTATTTTTCCTTTTGTTTGGTAGGTGTCTTGTTTAATTTTCCGATCTTTTCCTTTTGTTTGGTAGGTGCTTGGTGTGAAATTATCTTTTCAACGTATTTCTTTTGAGCCTTCCACAGGTCGGTGGCTCCCCCGCTCCCTCCGCCCGGATCCGCCCGGATCGCCGGAAAGCGCCGAGGTGGCAGCGACCGCCCGGTGAGCCGCCTGCACCCGGGCTCCGTCTTCGGGGGGCACGCGGTGCTGGGCATCTCTCAGACGCGGAAGGAGACGGTCATGGCGCCTCGGGGCTGGTTGGGTCGAAGGAGCCTTCAGTCACAACCATTTGCTTCAGGTTTTTTTTTTTTTTTTTTTTTTTTTTTTTTTTTTAAATAAAAAAATAAAAAATAAGAATATTTTGCCTTGTTGGCTTTAATTAAAGGGAATCTATCACCCTGGATGTATTTTTATTTTTCCCAGAGGGCTTAAGCAACTGGAAGGTCAGGTTGCCCCCCAGCCAGGGTTGGTTGGGAAGCCCCTGGCAACCCAAAACGATGCTTTTTTTACAGGGTACCCTCAAAAATTTGGGGCTCTGTCTTGTCAAGCCGCAACCCTAAACGATGGTTTGTACTGGCGGTTTGGGGATTTTAACCTTGCCCTCATTAACAACCAAACCACCAATCCAAATCGCCAATTAAAGAGAAGCTGATTCAGCAGGTGAGCCACGTCCTCAAAATGAAGGTTAGGGAACATGTCCTTGCCATAGACGAGTTTGTGCGGACATATCCGCCTTGTGATTTGTTTTTTACATGGTTCTGGGCAGGCCATGATTGTACCAGGTGTTCATTGTGACTCAGGTTGGCTTTGAGGGTAGAAGGCTGGGAGGTTGGGCGGAACCCACCAGATGGTGCATTCTAAACGAACATGGTCTTCCAGGACCCCTCAGTCAGGTTCCATGTTAGTGGACAGGAGGGCAACTCCAATTATTTTCTTTGGCCGAGGGATGGTTTTGGGGTGGATATTTCACCCTTAAAGGTCTAACATGGTGAGCCCAGTAAGGTGTTCAGCAGATTCCGCACTTGAAATCGCTCTTTGCTTGCTGCGCTCACTAAAATGGTTCTGGCCCCAAAGGGTTCAACTTCTTTTTCTGCCGGGGTCACCGGGCAACTTAGGGAATCAAGCGTTTGTTCGTTTGGCTTCCTCGAGGGGCCTGCAGTGCCCTGGTTGCTTGGAGGGGTTTCCCTTTGAAGCAACTTAAGGCCTAGCGCTTTTCTCCCAATAAATCCAAGGCAGTTTTTGTTTTGTGGAAGGGCGCGTGACAGGTGAGCCTCGAGCCCTCGCAACCCCATGCTGCGATGCTGAAGGGTCCCCTTTGTGCGGTGTGACTGACATGTACCATGACTCTGCTGCTATTGGGTTGGATCTTTAGGCTTTAAGTTTTTGGATTTCCCTCATATTTCCTTTTAACCTGCAAACAGTTAACCCAATTCAACGGCCGTTTTCAGCGTCACTGCATTTCCCCAAAGAAGTAGCTGATGAATTGACTGGTGGTTTCTTAAGGTCCAAAAGGATGAAATTGTGTTCCTTCTGGCTTCCCTTTGAAGGCCCAAAAACAAACATTGACAGGCTCGCCATATGTCCCCTTGTGGTTTTTTAATCCCCACCTTCTGGAACTCCTGTTTTTGTTCTTCTTCTTTTTTTTCGCCGACCCATACCTGCTGTTTTACTTTCTGCGTCCTCAGGACCCCCCAATGGCTGGCAAATAGTCTGTGGCATGACCTCCGCAATGGCTGTTTTGGTTATTTGCCAGCCATCAAAAATCCAGGCATGTAAATTACATGAGAAAATCACCCCTGGAGCTCCGGGCCGCGAAAAAAACATGGGGCGCCTCGAATCCTCCGCCGGCTGGCTCGCTCGAGTCGGATTTCGATTTTTCTCGAGGCGGACACGGTGTGCGACCTCCGGGCGCTGAGCCGCAAGGCGCTGCTGCGGGTCTTGGAGCGGTTCCCCGAGGAGGAGGAGCTCCTCGGCCACGCGCAGAAGGGGGGGGGTGGGGGGTGGGGGGTGGGGCCCCCGCGAAGCCTGGGGTGTGAACTTCTAGAATGGTACCTGAAAATGTCCATTCTTTCCAGGGAGCCTTCTTCGAAAACGCCTGGACGCCCAGGTTTTTGGAGGGGCCCGGTTTCTGAAATCTCCGGATTGCCAAGAATTGGGGAAGAGAACCCCGACGCCTCACTCGAGTTCGCGGGCTGCTTGGAAAGACCAAGCAGGCTAAATATTTTTTGGCGCCGTGAGGCGCTCTGGAAGTGAGGCGCGATTTTTTTTATTCTTGAGGGGTGGGCCGATTGTTTTTTCGGCCAGAATCCGAAAGTATCATGTTCTGTGCGCCCCAGGGGTGGGCCAGAAGAGTCTGCCTTCACTTTGGTGATTTGGCTTGGCGCTTTGCAGGTTCCGGGGGGGCGGGTGGGGGGGGGGCAGCCCCAGTCAAATTCCATCTTAGTGGATGGCATGCCCTTTATGTCGGATTAGAGGGGGGACTGAACCATTGGGGGATGTGTGCCATCTACTTGTCACTTTAGTCACAACAAATTCAAACTTTGTTTGGCCAACTCGGCACTGAGCGAGAAACCGGTCAGCGTGGGACGCCTTTTGTGGGGGATGGGGGATTTGTTTTTCCGGCTTGCATGGGCTTGCCGGGTCCTCCTAGATTTCTATTTCTGGCGCATTTCTGTATAGCTATTTGGTTGGTTCTTTGGACTTTGACTTTTTGGCAAACAGTGGGTTGTCTGTTGGACCCACAAGAAGTTAAACTTTTTGCGGAAGGGTGAACAGCAACCAAGATTCAAGTGTAAGTGCGGTTTGCAGACAAGGTGATGGGCAATGGCTAGCATTGGCTGTCACGACGCTCACCAAATGAACATTAGAACGTTGACTTGCTCACCAAGCCCCAATGTGCCGGATGGGATGGGAGCGGTTTCTTTGACAATCCAAGAGGGGTTCCACTCCCCCCCAAGCCACTACCACCAAAGGAAATCAGGGTGTCTACCTTTTACATAGTGGCTGTATCGGTTTGGGGACTGGAAAGCGCTTGCTGTGCTGTTGGCGCGTTGTGTGGCCCAGTCGCATCCTCGCCATCGTGGAGGCTCACGGCGAGAGCCGCAAGGCGCCGTGACACGGAGCTTTTGGCTCGAACGTTTTTTCCCCAAAAGACGGACAAGATCCATTTCGCACCACTTGATTGAAACCATCGGTTGTTGGTGTCGTTTGTGTTTACAGGGGGATCATCAGAAACCAGAGTTTCTTGGGTGGTGCAGGATGTTCATCCACGGTAGGGGAAGAAAGTAAGCCCAGGTGGTATCCCCAACACCTGGAACCGAATCTCCTTTTGAGTCCTCCCCAAACTAGCCCGAAGGAGCGTATCTGGGCAGAGACCCCACAGCTGTCAGCGGTTGGGGAGAGAAAAAGAAACCCAAGCCCCTAAACCAAAGCTCTCCCATGGAACCTGCCTGAAAAGTTCCTGGTTACACTTTGTTGTTCGTGGTGGGCTCCATGTTGGGTGGAGGGCACCTCAAACAAACAGCTTGTATTTAACACAGGCTCGAAGTGTCGGGTTAGGTCCAACGATGTGCAATGGGTTTTGTAAAGGTGACCACCTCTTATGCTTCAGATTCTTTTTGAAGGTTCGCCTTTGTAAAAGCCAATTGAGTTTCGTTTGGGGGTCCACCGCACCCAGCTGTCGAATTGACGAATTGTGATGATGTGTGGGCGTTTGGCGGAGGTTTGCTGTCCAGGGGGTTGCCGAGAAGTGTTCTGACAAAACAAATGCAACATTCACACCCCCGGAAGGGGACCACCCAACCCCCCCAAACACACCTCGGGAAAGGTAAACAAATCGACAATTTTTGGTTTGGTGTGCGTTTGGGCGGTCCCAACGGAAAAGTTCGAGGAACCATTAAGCCAAGCCCCTTTGCTTGCCCGCCACCATGGAAGACACGAGCACCACTCCATGACCAAACTTCATCGAGGCGGCTATTTTGAGGGAGTGGACAATGGGGTTTGGGAATTCCGTTTCACATTCAACTGGAAATTCTGCCGGTGATGAACCTAGTTTCCTCAAGAATAGCCAGCGCCCCCTTCCGACTGCTTTGACCCCATGTCCAAAGCCCCAAGGATCTAAAAGGCCTGGGTTTTCCAATGCACACGAAGAACCTGTTTGCATACCTGGGAAGTCAAGAGCCCTAAAATGACCGGGTTTCTTTTACACGCCTACAAAAAAGAAAGAGCTGTCTGCATACCGGACCCCCCCCCCAAAAAAAAGGCACACACATCTCTGAAGGAGTGGAACATCCCAATCTCCAAGGCCTTCATTTTTTTCTGGGCCGGCGAAGAAAGACGCGTCTCACCGGGAAGACACGGCGCTGGGGTTGGAACTTGCCGCCGGGCGTTTTCCCGGGACTCCCGCGCCAGGCGGCCTCGTTGGCGCTGGCGCAGGCCAGCGCTGCGGAGGGGGGCTTCAGCCAGGCGGGGGGTTGGGGGTGCTGAGCTGAGAGTGGACAAAATGAGTGGGGGTCGAGCGAGCCTCACTTCCTGCGTTCAACTGGGCTTTAGTCACTTTTGGCTTGGACCTTTTTAGTGGTAAATCAAGAGTTCAGGCTGTTTTTGGTCAATCCACTCAGGAAAGTGAGCAGCTGGTGGTGTAAAGAGGGAGCCTGGACGGGAGCTGCCGGCCGGAGTATGGTAGGGGTGGGATGCAAAACGCCTGGGCTGGTTGGCACTGCCTGAGGCTTGGTTGCCATTTTAGAGGGACGACCCACCTAGAAAGTGAGTAATGGACGCCCCGGATTAAACCGGATTTCTGTTCCATTTGGCTTCCAACCTCAATCCAACCCCAAAAAGGGTCTCACCATATGGCAACCCAGGATGAAGCAGAACCCCTTGATGTTGATAAGCTTTGGGAGAGGAAAGAACCCCCAATAGGATTAAACTTGTGGGCGTCCCTTTGGTTTCCAACTTGAAACCATCCCCCAATTCAATGAAGGGCACCCACAAAAAGAGGCATACTAAATTCACACAAATGCCATAGTTGACTAACTCCCCCCCCCCCCTAGACCCCCCCCCACCTTTGCTGGAAGGTGTCTGAGCCGAGTAGTTCGCTGATAGCTTACTAATAGCATGATAATAGCTGTCAAAATCCATGTTGCTATTCATGCTCAAATAGCTGCAAATAGTAGACAACCAAGGACCCAGGGGTTCGTTTCCTGACGCTGACCCACTCAAACACAGAAACCAGTGCACCAAGATTCCCGCCCCTAGATTAGAGGGTCCGGTGGCTAAGAGCATTTTGTGAAAGGGGGGGGGGCACACCACAATTTGCGCCTTATTTGAAAGGGGGGGAGGTGTATGTGTTTTTTCGTGAAATCAGGCTCAGGAGTACAGATTGCTGAGCAACTGCAGGGTTTACACTCTTCGGGGGCAGATTTTCTGAAAAAAATACAGTGTTTACACCCCCCCCCCTTGAAATAGCGCGCTAATAGGCTACAAAATAGTGTACAATTAGTGCACTAGTAGTGGTTTTCCATCATTTGCTGGAAAAATGCAGGGTTCACAGCTTTTGGTGGAAGAG